TAAAAATGACACCACGTAAAGGGTTGACCTCATCTATCACAAGTAGTTCGGACGGATGAAAGTAGAAAGTGTTTCTTTACTTCTTCATCTCGACCAAACTTAATCGTAAACACAAAATGCTGCAATTTTTAACACGTTCACACTATTATCTAATTAAATATTAATTAAGAAGTAACATCTAGACATTTTAACAATGCGATAACTTTGTTACACTAATTATCTACACAGCGAGTTAAAAAAGTAGACTGGAGATAATTTGAGACATGTTTATCACCAAAAAATATGTTGTCGTGTGTATCAGACTAACGTAAATTCTATCTTCATAGACTTTGGCGAATATAATTTCAAGTTTCGAACTCTGCTCGAAATAATTTCTTTTACAGTTTTTGATGCAAAAAGAGCTTTGTGAAAAAAGCGTTTTGCTCGTACTTTTCTACCGGTGGCACCAATATTACGCGGGTTGACCGACTTAATCCCGCAAATGCATATTTAAAAGCGATAAAATGGAGCAGTGAATTTACATGCTGTATGTGCTCGCAATACCTACACAAAAAGCAAGTTTGCTTCAAAGACATGAAGAAATTTTTGTGGTTTTTATTAAAAAGTGCATGAAATTAGATGTTCTAATTACGAAATTGGTTTTAATTAAATCTTTCTGGTAATTTGTGCAATTATTGATCGATTTCTAAGTGTCTTCTCACTTTTACTTCAATTATCTTCTCCCAACCTGCGGAAGCGTATTTTTTTCCTGAAGAATTATATAAACTGTAACTAATCGAGTCACGGAGCCATGAAAATTATTTTTAAAATATTATTGTATGGAGTAATTTATTCACATTTTTCAGCAACTAATCGCGTTCTGATAAACAGCTAGAAAATTGAGATTTTATCACTTTCCCCTGTACTAATGAGTATCTTTACAAAAAGTTGCAGTTAACTAACCAGAGAAAATTTTTTGCTAACAACTACGACATTCACTGTCAATAAAATTGTTACAGAGAAACATTTAACTAATCGAATTAGGTAACTTCAACACTTCAAGGTGAAAAGTAACGTTTTCTACAAATTAATAAAATATTTTTTTTTAATTTATAAGAACTGGGTTTAATTTGTAATTAAATTAATTAAAATTAACAACAACCGTTTTGTTTAACGTCCTTGAATAATATGTTGTTAAAATTAATATAAGTTAGAAATTAATTAATAAGCTGTACAAGAGCTAAGTTTAATGACATATCGAATAGTATGTGCAGGTGTTTTAATGTTAAAATTTTCGAAAAATCTGTATTTACTGTATGTGCTGTATTTCAGGGGCAAGGGAAGTTCTGTGTAAATAAACTTAGACCAATTTTTCTGTCAGAAATTTTTCGGATGAATTAAGAATCACCCTGTACATTAAAGAATTTCCGCTGACGAATGAAAGATGCTACTAATAAAATGTTTTTTTAAGTGACGACCTTATCTTTGCAAATTATATTCTGAAAGTGATTAAAAAATAATAAATGCTAGTATTTCAAAGCAGCTTAAATAAACATCAATAAAAATAAGGTGTTAACTGTTGTAAACAAACCACATACAAGTTACGAATTTTATTGCTACAAACAAAATTTAAATTTAATTAGTTCTTATAAGACAATATTACATTTATATACTTAATGCTATATATGTCCATATGTGTAATATTTTTTATTTTTAATTTTCTGTTCATTGTATAGTTAAACAACAGATGTAACTTTTATCAGAAACTTAATCATAAGTAAAACTAAAAATCATATTTAGCAAATCGTTACAAAAATCAAATACAACAAAAGATTTATTCCTGTCTCTACTGCTCTGTATATGTTTCAAATAAAGTTTACGCTAATGTATACGAAAAATGTAACCAAGAGCTTTTTCGAATAATGAAAATAGTGAACCGAAAAATTATTAAAATAAATGAAATTAGTGATTTAATATATATAATGAATTAAAACTAGTTTAATGGAGTTATAAACGAAGTTACTATTGCTATATTAGTAATAAACGGGATATAATGTTATTGTTTGGACGCATTCCAGGTAGTTGTCTCTGTAACTCGCGTTCAGAAATTTAATTGCACTACCGCTACTTGTGCTACTATGCTTTTGTCAAGGAATTTTGCACTTATCCTTTTAAGAATGAGCTATTATTATTATAATGATTTTTTTTTCATAAGTTTAGCAATTTCTATTCTAGATTTGTTTATTTATAGATCTATTTATCATCTCTTTTATAAATACACCATTATTAGCTGATTAATAAACTGCGAATAAAATATCAACACATACAATGTTTCCTTTAATTCAGTAATTCAACGTCATTATAAATTTCGAATAGTAGATAAGCTAGGTATAGCTATTTTACGGCAAACAAAAACAAAAACAACATACATAAATATTAAAAAATAAATTTAAGGTGTTTTCATAAATTTATAGCACAGCAGTCACAAATTTAAAAAAATCGTATCATTGGTTACGAAAATAGCATAATTTTTGGCATGTTTTCACGCTAAAGTAAATTTCTGTCTCCTGTCACATATGACCGACCATGTAAAAACTCGGTCAACGAAGAGCCCAATCCACTTTAATAATCAGCAACACTTAGGTATTCTTGTACATACGTTGAATATTCATGTTATATTAAAGTGCAATCTGGAGGAACTTGCCTAATGCTTGTTGTGAATATGTGTAGGTATATTTTTCAATAATTTCCGGGAAATAAAAATAAATTATAATGAGATTGCAAGTCGCAATCAAATGTTTTTAATGGAAGCATATTTATTTTACGATTATATTGTAATCAGATCGTGTTTTTAATTTAATGAGAATTATATTATTTATTATACGTAGCTGCTAGTTGGATAAAAAGATACACGAGTAAACAAAAAAAAATCCGTACCTGTGGCAGAGGTATAATAATTCCAAATATGTAGTTATAATTCAATTCAGGATCATTGTAGAAATAATTTGACAGACAAATATTCCACCAAGTTGCAAAACGTTTGGCACGAATGCAACTAATTTGATTTGGTGAAAATTAATACTGTTATGCTAAGTGAAATATTTCTGTAAATTCAAATTTATATTTGGATGCATTAAAAAAAAAAAAGAAGTTCAAGGAGCGTTTGAGAAATAAACGTGCTCTATCTGTATTAAATACATGAGCCTATGAATAATAGAACTTAAAAACTTATTATTAAAATTAGGAATGAAACTGTTCTTTTTGACAATTTCATAGCAATTTTAATATTTTTACTCTCCTGATACTATGTGATTGTCACTGATTTTTATATCGATGAAAGACATGTTGATTGTTATTATTATTACAATTTATTAAAAAATTGAGTATGCTTAAATTAAATTAATTAAAATATCCCTAACTTTTGACGCCCAGTTTATCATAAAGTGAAGAAAATGGCTATTTTTTACTATTGCCACTAAAAGATGAGTTTTGATGAACGTCGATATACAGAAACTGTTCTTTTTAAAAAAATTGGACCACAGAATGTAATCTAGATAGCTCAGTGCAGATACCTATTAAACACACTGCGCAAAAAAAGGTTATTAATAACTTGTACTATCAGTATTGGTTTATTATATTAATAAGTACACACGAGAAAAGATAATGGAAAAAAAGAATAGGTATGATGGTTCACGAAAAACCAGATGTGTCCAGTCCGTTCTTGACTAGCAAGGACAAAATTACTTCGATAAAAGTTTGTATTGGTCTTTATGTGTCTTAAATGAACCGTTTTCAATGTGTGATGACTATATGAAAAGTCCAGGCAATTTTTGTTTCTCCATTCCTCAATGTAAATTTTTGGAAAATTGCTGGGTATAGGATGTTTTAACTTAAAGTTACCGGTTTAATAAATAATAATGAAAAAAACTCAAGCTCGTCTCTGTAAATAGTATTGAAGAAAAAAAAGCAAACGGGGGGGTGTGACCAATCTTATTTTCTATAAAATGGACAGGTAGAAGTGGCCTGGACTTTATATTATAAAACTAGATGTTGGTGTAACGTGACTATTGCTTGATTTCGATTATTACTGAGTACCTCAAATTATTTTTAAATAAACGAGACACAGTTTTTCGCCAAATAATATTTTAAGTGTTTAATTTCTGTGCTGATAAACTTTATTTTCGAAAACTAACGGTGATAAATTAATTAACAGAAAAAAGTCTAAAAACCTCATCCATTGATTAACAGGTACTTTTGATGCATGTGTTTGCGTGATTGCTTCACGCTTGGATTTTCTGAGGAAAGATAAGTTCTTTAAATCAACAAGTTTTACGGTTTTTGTGGTTTAGGGATTTCAAAATTTAATTTATTTATTTATTCCTTTTAGAAAACTGATGAAGTCAACGAAAAAAACTCATAAATAAACTAAATAAATCTTGGTATTGTATGTATAAAATAAATTCCGTTACATAGGCACCACGTAATACACCAACTGAGAAATTGTAATAAAACATGAACATAACGGTTAGATGTAATAAATAATAACAAATAATAAAAGTGCAAAATCATACATGTACAATTATCGTACATTTTCTTCAACAATACATAAATACTGTTCCTATAATCTTTTAATAACTCTAAACGCTGATTATTTTGAAGATTATAAGCGATTTGTTTTGTAGATAGACTGTAAATGGGTACAAAAGATATCTGATATTTTACAACAAAATTAAAAATTATTGTTATTACTTAATTATTTATACGTTACAGTAAAAAAAAAAATTCACGCTCAATTTTTTATTGTACAAATGTTGGTTACAGAGTTACGAAAGACTTTAATTAGCTTTTGTCAAAAATAATCGAAAATAATCAAAACTCCATTTATTTAAGAATTTTCAACCGTTTGTTTGTTAGCAACGTTCGACATATTTTTCTGACGTTCGTGAGGCGGGTATTTTTGGAATCTAACGCCAACTTCATTCCTCTGAGTAGGGGGGATCCGCAGTTGTGCCTAAGTTCACAGTATGTGTACGCCATATTGAATCCTCGTGTGGTGAAAGTTGTCATAGAAATGTGTGATTTTACAAGTTTACATTATTTGTGTAAAATAGACTAAGAACAATTGTAATTATGGCAAATAACAATAATGAAGGTGTAGATAACAGTCCAGACAACTCGAAAGACGCGGGATCGGAAAAGGTTTGTTAAAATGCGTTCTTTGCACATATTCGCGCGTTCTCGCCTCTAAATATAGCTAGAAAAGTTTTATTCGAAATGATGCTTTTGCGTTAACTAAAAGCCCTCCCATCATATTCAGTCAACTTGGCAGTGCAAACATCACATGTATTTAACCTTATATTCGCTCACCTATTTGTTTAACCTTGATTTGTAAGATGCCCAACAAAGTCCTATTTTAAATTTTTTGTCGTTGCAGTCATTCGTGGGAAAGTTCATGTCCGGTATTTTCAATAGTACGCCGCTGTCCAAATGGTTCGGAAAAGACGCCGCATCAAGATCAGTTATACGAAGGCGAGATGAAGACGAAGACTATGATGCCTCCTTCAGTTTTCAACCTCCAAGTAAACGTGTGAAGCTGCCCCCGGAAGCGGAACGTAACAGTTACAGTGCACATGTTTTTGAGTCTCCAGTGGCCGTGCATACTTCCAATAATGTTAACAATGTTTCGACAAAAGTGTATGGAAAGTTTCCTGAACCTGTGCCGGGTCCTTCTGGAATTAAGTCTCGAAAATTGTTCGAGAGACATAACACGTCAAGCACAAATACAATTTCAACAAATTCCTTTGAGCATAATTTAGAGGTAATTAATGGTGATCATGACTCAGACAGTGGAGAATCAACTAGTGGCTACTCCTCTGCACCTAAATTGGTCACCAAACAGAAGAGTGAAGAAACGTCAAACAAGAATACAGAAAGCGTCGTGCCAAAAGCTCGATCTTTGTTTACCTCTTGTAAGTACCTTGTTTTATAAAAATTGAAAAAGTATAAGAATGAGGGCTAAACAAGGTGTACTTTTGTTTGGGTGTGGTGTATGAGAATTTGTGTTTGTTTTTAAGTATTTTTGGCAGCTATTGAATACATTTATAAGGATTTTAAAAGTGAACACATCCAAATATCTGTACCTCCTGTTTTGGGGTTCATTGGCTGTGATTTTTTAGATTATATTTAGTAGTTTATGTTGTGACCTACTGCAAGATATATTAATGATTTTCTAACCTTAAAACACATTCAAACACAATTTCAGCAACAAAAATTTTGTGAAATGGAATTTTGTGCAACATTTTCACAATTTTTACAATCATAGAAACAATGTTTTTATTCTAGACTAAACTAAGTTACATCCATTACCTCTCGATAAATTTGAACCTAAAATACCGACATTTGTTTATTGGTTTTATAAATGGAGGCAATAGTGGTGCATTTCGTCTGAAATGTATCTGATGTAGGTAAATATTTTTAAGACAAATAACGTATGATAGAAGATCACGAAATAAAAATAATTTTAAGAACAAATTTTAACAAAATTTGTATATATTTTGTTTTTTAACTACACTTTGATACTAGCGTTTTGATATTTTAATATTACAGCCAAAAAACATTCTGGTACAACAAGGAATAACAGCTATGGAAAATAGTGTACATAATCCATACATTTTTTGTAAATTATAGGAAGTAACATTTACTTCTGCATAGAATTTTTGCACTTAAATGTGAAAACCATTTTTTTACGCTCTGCAGATTCATGTTATAAAAAAAATCATAAAATTTTCTAGTTTTATTTCTATTTGAGCAAATGCTCAAAAATATTAGAAATGAAGAAAACTTTTGTATTTTAAAATAGAACTACCCTGTTTTCTAATTTTTAATGGAAATGTTTTCTTAAAGCATTAGTACAAAAGTTACATTTTCTGAGCAAATTTGAATTGAAAAATGTTGCTACATGACTGAAACATGTGTAATTTATGATCATTTGTATAATAATTTTTTCATTTAAACATTAAATAATTTCGTACTGTTTAAAAAAAATCGTCTCATTTTCGATGTTTTTTTATGTATAGTCGACGCACATTGAAAAAACCACTTGCCAGTTGACCTTCGTAAATAAATGTCCATAAATGTAACTATGGATTTTGAATTGTAAACGTAAATTTTACTAAATTATTTTAGTGTATATATTGTGTACCTGCTGAATCCTAACTTATGGTGATATTCAGCAATGAGAATTATTATTGAGCCAAACTGTTTTTGACGAAATAATTCTTGTCTTTGAAATTTTAAAATTCATGTCAACTTTGATGACAATTAGCAGGCTGACAATCTAAGAAGGAGAAATTACTGACATTCCGTTACCAACATAATTTTTTCCCAGTTTTTTTTTTATTGTGCGTCGACTACAGGTGGTGGTAGTAATGGTAGTTTGGACTAGTGTGTTGCATACATGCGCATCATTATAAACAAAATCAATGAATTAAAATTAAATTAGATCAAATGCGTAAGTTAATTTTAAATAAATTTAGTTACTTTGAAACTGCAAAATCGAATGCTTTCGGAAACATGGTAAATCGTTAATTAATTTTTGTCGGTTTATGCCCCCACCCCCCAAATGCTGACGTCATCTACAATTTTGCCGAATAAATATTTTTCAAATTCATGAATGTTTCTGGTTTTTTAGGGGAAGAAAAGAGTGTGGTTATTTAATTATTCCTCTGCTTTGCGTTGAGCAGAAACAATCATACACAAATGCCACCGCTGATGCTTATTATTTGAACGTACTAATTGTAGAATTCTTTCAAAGGATAAACATAAACGCTTGAAGTAGGCATGTATTGAGAAATTGAGAATACATTTTTCCCCTTGGTTATCTTCTTTAAATATACAGTCTGATTCAGCTTAAATGAGCCACTTGTCTTTTTCTAATGGGCAACTGTACATTATCCACTATTTCGTTGATGGAAAAATATGACAAGGTCACCATTTTTCATATAAATGGTCAGAATTTTTCTGCTTTCTACAATTTGATTTTCTTGGATTTTCTGCTATTTCTTGTACTAAAACAAAATACTGGAGTCAGAAAACTTGTATAATTTATTGTTAATATCAAAGAGTCCAAGTGCACCTATTGATAATTTTGTGTTATGCATTATTGACGTCAGTATTACATTTTACCGCTGCTAACACTTGGAGAAATGGAAATTTTCATTGTTAACAGTGTTGGTCTATAATTTCAGGTTTAATTAGACATATGTGATTATTCTAAGTACAGTATTAGTGTGACTTAACCAATTTAAAAATTTACATTTGTCAAAGTAAATCATATATTTTATATTTTATCTTATCTAGAACATCGTTCGAGACCATAGAACTATTCACATGTGTTTCTTCAATTTGCTGTAACTTTGAATTAGTTCTTACGATTTATATAATCTTTCATACTTTAATCAGACGTGCGATTACTGTTATTTTAGTTTTTATTATTTGGTAAGTCTCTTTATTTTGATATGATGTTTTTATCTCTCTTCTCTCTCTTTCTATCCTAAGGTTTGATACACACCTTCCGCTGCCTTCTTATCCCTGTTTGTTCAAATTCAAATATATGACGTTCGACAGACGTTACTTTTTGTGTGATTCGGCAATCACTCCGACAACACCCTCAACTAAATGCAACCAACTTTTTCAAAAAATATTGCCATATAAAGTGTGTTTGCCTTTATGCGAAAGTGAGATAACTGCAGTTATTAGGAAAAATTAGACATGGTTTGTGAAAACTGTACTCAAACTACAGTTAATAACGACCAATCCGACCACCCCATTACAGCTGAAATCATTGAAAGTATTATGGCAAAGCAGTTAGAGATACTAAAAAACAATTAGAACAGTCAATGGATGATCACTGTAGACAGTTGAATGATCGCATTGCCAACCTCGAAAATAATGTATAAGGTATAAGTCATCCAGGATGAATGGGTGGAATTTAAGAAAAAATATTTCGTGGAAAATAGTGAATTTAATTTAAGCGATGTAGTATTAAAAATCGAGAAGCCCAAACAGCGGAATCAATTGCTACAGATTCGGCAGGAAAATTTTCTGAAGATCTCCAAAAAATGGTGAACATTTTGACACCCCGAGGTACGTTGTCTCAGCCTAAGAAAATTGGAAGCAAAAAACGGTGATAATTTTAACAGTTCGTCACTCTCACATAATTTTCTTTTTAATTTTACAACGTTCAGTAATTCTTGATATTTGGAAGAAAACTATAATTGCCCTGTTTAAAAAAAAAGGTAAAATTAATGAAGTTTCGAATTATAGACCCATATCTTTCGTCTGCATGTTTGCTAAATCTTTCGCGTAAATACTGTGTATATCAAAATATCTATAATTCAGTTAAGCACGTAATCTCTCCCTATCAACCGTTCGACAATATCAAACTTAACCCCATTTTTGCAATTTATTTCGGAAAAACGCGGTGCCAAAGGACAAGTAGACTGTATATACACAGATTTTAGTACGGCTTTCGATCAGATTAATCATTTAAAGTTTGGTTTCAGAACCATATTTGAAGTTTTCAATTTCACTTACTTAATCGAGAATTTAAAGTTATGTAAAGCAATTTCAAGTCTACTACATACTGGTGTATCCCAGGGCTCAAACCTTGACCACTACTGTTTCTATTTTCTATTAACGATCTTGCTGAAGTTTTGTCTTGCAATAAGCTGATGTTTTCCGATCATTTTAAGCTTTATTCAATTATCGATTCATTAAGCCGACTGTATTGTTGCAACTATGTCTTGAACACGTTGCTCGTTGGTGTTTAGAGTTAAGGGTTTGGACTAATTTTCGGCTATAAATTCTCTAGAAATTGTAGGAATATGGTGCTTTTATTATAGGATCCAATTTATGATGTACATTGTCACAGTTTAGAAGTAGTTCAAAGAAGAAGTTCATAACAAAATACACTGCCTTGATCTTATAAACAAATGTAATAAAAATATGTATCTACATATAATTCTCGTTATCAAGCTAATCGAACTAATGTGTCAGTGAGATCGCCGGTTTCTCCCATGAGTAATTTATTTAACAAAATTTCTCATCTGCGTAATCTTAATTTCGACAACATTTCTCTTATCTCCAACTCTTATTCATTAATGGTAAATTTTAACGTTAATTTATAGATATAACACTTCTAGCATGGTTGAATGTTACTTTTGTATTTCATGGATATTATTTGCTGTTGTTTAGATCAATTTAAATATTATTCCTGTAATTGGGTGATTGGAATAGTTATTATTATAAGAAAAAATGCCTTCACTATAATGATACATGTTATAACTCTGTTTAGATTTGAAACAAAGTATTTCCAATATAAATAGTTATCCTTCATTTAGGTATTTCATAAATTATATAGGATCGTTACACCTGGACTAGATTCGAGAGGCATCACGTGGTCGATACCATCCACTAGTACATACGATTATAGTTATTTTTTATTAAAGATCTCCTACTTATTGATTTTTGTTAATAACATAAAATTCTTTGTGGCAAATGAAATTACACTAAACTTCTTTAAATTAACCAAATTGCTTTGCGTAGTCCTGCCGAATCCATTGTAGATAAGTGCAGTGTTGGTGGATCTTCAATAAATGAACACACTGATGTGAAATTCAGAACGGTTAACTTAACCAGCATTAAAATATGGTACACATTGCTAAAAAAGAATAAAAAATTGACAAAATCACGTCGATACTTCAACCATATCAAAATTTTAAGCTATTACTATTTAATTCATTGCCTAATTGTAGATTATTTTGCTATTGATATTTGTGGCGTTTAGTTAGACAACAAATCCGCTATGTTTGACGATCTTTTTATGTTTTCGGGCAAATCTGTGCGTTTTTATTTCGTCGAATGGAGTGATGTTTTGTAAATAAAGTTTTTAAGTTAAAAGTTTTTTCAAATCTAAAAAAGCATCTACTACGAGTTCTGAACCGATTATTATCATTTAAATGTGATCGTTGATAGCTGTATAAAATTTAGACGTTGTTTCATTTATTTTTCACAGTCGTACATATTTTAGAGTGCCTATATTAATGAATAATGTTGGTCATTCAATAAAATACAGGTGTTCGGAATTTTCCTCAGTATATCTTCGTGTGTGAAAGATCTAGACTTTGGTTATAAATGAAATACTTCGCATATCTGACATACTGTGCAATAAATCTAACAGTGTTAAATGTTATAATCGTGTGGAGATGTGCAGAACGGCTATTTAAATGTGTAAAAAAAATCACATCACTCTTACGGCTGGATCGCAATGGCGACACAAGCAGATGAAGTAAGCTCAATTAGATAAACTTTATTTTAAGTTATTAATCTCCTAGAGGTATGTAGTTGCCATAATGTTTAGAAAATACAGATCTTTTTTTGCTAGAAAATCGTAGTATATTAGAGATCAGGAATTAGCAGCTCCAAAAGTGTTTATTTTAAGCCCTCAAAAACCGCTTAAAATTATAGTAATGATAATGTACAGGTTTGACCTTCTCGCTCATTGCTTGCCTGAGAGGAACAAAGGTTATTATTACAAAGACGTCCGATTTGCAAAACCTTTGATCCTTTCGACAAGCAACCCAAAAGCAAGCAAGCGTTGTAAGTCATCGCTATGCTATCATAACCCCGAGTAGTTTATTAGGGGCTTTCGATAAACACTTTGGAAAGTCAATGGGACGATTTTTTTCAGGAATCATTCTGAAGGTTAATGTTGGAAATGAAAATAAGTATGTATTCTTAATTTTATATTTATTATACTACTAAAACGGATAACTGGAAAAAGTTGCCCTTTTGATGTTCAACTTATGCTTCAAGTTTGCTTTTGGCTTGAATAATTTGCAAAATAATTGTCATAGAAATATAAATAGTTGTACTGTATGCTTATTTCACAGTTTTATTGGCAAAGCATATCACAGACATATGGTTACTTAACAAAATACCTACTGTTGAACTATTTAAAAAAAACGACACCTATAATGTGGAAGGGCCTTTTGAATTACAGTTTTTTATTTCCCTTACGGACACGGAAAACAGTTTAATTTCTTTGCAGACAAATGAGGATTGTGTATTTAAAACAAGCGGTTATACGTATAACTCAAGGATTAAATCTTGGGCCTACTTTGTTCAATATATTTATTAATGATGTAATGAAAGTTTTTACCTTTTTATCAAACATGTATTTTTCTACGTTGATGACACAAAGATTGTTGGTTTGACTACCGCTTCAAGAAAATATTAGTAAGTTTGTAACATGCTATAAAATTAATTAAATTAAGCTTAACGTACGTAAATCTACTGTTTTCCAGTGTAAGTAATGTAATTAATTTTGAATATTTTTTAGGTCATGCATACTTCTTTGCCATTTCTTCCTTATGTCAATAAGATCTGTACAGATGCGTTTATTGCAATATGTTATAGGGACACTGGTTTGAAAAATATTGTGTTTGAAAATGCTGTGTAAACCTGATTATGTGAATTGGATTTGTGTTCTTTACAATTTAGGCTTGACTTTTCGACTGTCATCTACTTATATGAAAACTTTAATGACATTAAAGTTTCTCTATGGATGTTATAGCAACCTAGTTTAAATCTTCATAAAGTTTCGTGAAGAGATTTGCTAACATTATTTTATGATACCCCACATAGGAATCAACATCTGCACTCGCCAATATACAACATGTGTGTTTGTTACAACAACATGTGTGTATTCAACAAAAATTATTTATTATATAATTTAATTTTTATTTGTGTAGTTTATTATATTAATGTGTTTGACTTAAGTAACTTCGTATTCAAGTATTTCCTCTTCCGCTTTATTTTTTGCTAATGATTTTGAATTTTTTCAGCGACCGACTCTAGCAGCGGACGCACCTTGTTCCCAGATAGGAGCTCTCAAATGAATACTTCGTTGAGCAGCAGACGCCCCACATTCAATGCATCGACTTTCGGCTCGCCGAACTTCGTGGACAGAACCCTGGCAACCAAACGAATAATGAATTCGCCGTTTTACAGCGGACGCACTATGTACGGTGGAGCTTCAGCATACGGTCGCAGGTTGGGGAAAAGCAGCGAAGAGCTGAACGTAGTACCCAGAACATCAGTACAGATTAAGCCAGTGAATGAAAAATTAACAAACGAAAACACGACACTGAGTAAAACGGCACGCAGAATATTGAACACTTTGGAACAGTACAGTACGCCAATAAGTGACGCTAAAAAAATACCCGTCAGTCCACGAAGACCGGGTCTTCTGTCGCCTTACGTAGGAGCTGCTCCGTATTTGACGCGAGATAAGAAAAGAGCATTGCATAAGGAGCTTCAAGTACCGTCGATTCCCGATTTGTTGCAGATGAAACAGAAAGAAAGACTGCAGAATAGCACAGAGACGGTGAGGCAGATCGCTACAAAGTCGAAGTCGAGTCTAAACAAAGAAGACTATAAGTTGCGAACGGACGAAGATAATAAACAGAAACACAGCAATAAGATGAAGAGTAGTGTGGCTTCGGCTAGACCGAAGGTGCAGTCGATGGAGTCGGTTAGCGAAGTGAAACTACCGAAAGTTTCCTTACCGATAACGACGTTACCGAAATTCGACTTCGTTTTGATGCCGTCTGGCAATTCACACGAAACCAACCAAGTTATCGGGGCGAGTAAAAGTTCGAATGTGACAAAATCTCCGGTCAGTACTATAGCTAAACGTACCATTGTTGTGGAGAAGAAAGAGACTGAAACTAAAGACACAGACAAGGTGAAAACGAACGACTACACCTTCTCTGAGCCGTTGGTTATTTCAAAAGACTTGAAATCCGTCGCAGCGATTAATTGTTTTAAGTTTAGCGAACCGCTTTGCAAGAAAGAGGCTTCTGATGTGGGCATGGTATTTAAATCCGGCGATGGTAGTTTAAAGAGTGGCTTAAAAGTGAAGAACAATGGCGAAAACGTAAACTTCACGGGAGTTAAGCCTGCGGGTCAGTTGTTGACCGGTAGTGTGATGGATGTTTTGGGGAAGAAAAAAGAAGCGTCATCTGGGGTCCGCACGGTTGAACGTAAGTGGGAATGCCCAACGTGCTTAGTTAGAAATGCGTCGGACAAAACAAAATGTGTGGCGTGTGACGAACCTAAACCTCAAACACAGTTAGACAAAACGGAAAGTAAAGGATTCGGTGATCAATTTAAACTCTCTAGTGACAAATGGGAATGTACTTCGTGTTTGGTGCGTAATAATAATTCGGAGACAAAGTGTGTGGCGTGCGCGGCTGCTAAACCTGGTAGCCAAAAGCCGACAGTCACTTCTGGTTTTGGAGATAAGTTTAAACCGCCCGCTTCAACGTGGGAATGTACAAGTTGTTTGATTAGAAACAAGAACGAATTAGAGCAGTGTGCAGCCTGCGGCACGGCGAAAGTGGCGAAGGGACCGGCTGCTGCTAGTTTCGGGGATAAATTTAAGCCTTCGAGTGACACATGGGAATGCGGTACTTGTATGATTAGAAATAAGAATGAGTTGGATAAGTGTGCAGCGTGTGAAACGGCGAGACCAGGGGCTAAAACCGCGTCAACGCAAAAGCCGGTGACGTTTACAAACAGTTCTGGTACTACCTTCACCTTTGGAATTAAACAAGAATGGGAATGCAAAACTTGTATGATTAAGAATAAGAACGATCTGACAAAGTGTGCGGCATGCGAATCGCCGAAAGATAGCGGCTCTTCGATGAAAACAGGTTTTGGAGATGTATTTAAAATGAAGAGTGGCGAGTGGGAGTGTCCTTCCTGCATGGTGAAGAATAAACCCACAGTTAACGTTTGTGTTTGCTGTGGGGTGACGAAACCAGGTGGTACTAGCGAAAAACTGGCCGAAATATGTAAGAACGAAGAAAAGAAACCTGTAAATAGTTTTAATTTTGGTATTGATAAATCCGCTACGACGCAGTTTAAGTTTGGAGTACCGTCTAGTACAAGTGACACTAAGGATAGTACCGTAGTTAGTACAGCACCTACGTTCGTTTTTACCGACGCCAGTAAGTCCATTGCGGCGACGCCAACTACTTTTACTTTTGGAATCAATACTCAGGAAAAAGTTGCGCCAACTCAAACTGTTACCTCAACAAGCGAAACTACAAATAGTGTTTCGACTAACCCGTTACTTAAGCCCAGTGAGAAATTGCCTGAGAAGGCAGCCTCTGCTCCAGTTGGGTTTAAATTTGGCCTTGACAATAGTTTAAATAAGAATACAAGTAGCGAAACTGTAGTTAGTAGTAGTGGAAAGACGGAGACGTCGTCAGTTGGGACCTTTTCGACTAGTTTTGTTCCGACCTCTATGCCACCTCCAACGTTCCAATTTAAGCCTGCAGCTGTTAATGGTGACATAAACAAACCCAAAGAGGCCGTATTTGGCGGTGATACTGCTAAAGCGAATATTTTTGGCGATTTAAATAAACCGAAAGAGGCAATTTTCGGTACCGATAAAAGTAAAGAATCACCATTTGCGAAACTTAGTAAACCCACAGAATCACCGTTTAGCGGTACCGCCAAAACTGCTGATTCCCCATTTGGTACTACTAGTAAACCCAGCGACTCACCTTTTGGTGTTCCTAATAAAAGCATCGATTCACCGTTCGGCATCACCAGTAAAACCACAGATTCGCCATTCGGTGCCACCAATAAAACCACCGATTCGCTATTCGGTACTACTAATAAGACCACAGATTCACCGTTCAGTACTCCCAATAAAACCAATGAGTCACCCTTTGGTACCACTACGAAATCGGACTCGACTTTTGGCACAACCAATAAGTCCACTGTGTTGCAGTTTGGTAACGTCACAAAATCCACAGCGTCACCCTTCGGTACTGTTAGTACTAAACCTACAGATTCACCATTCGGTGGTGCCACGAAAACCACAGACTCGCCTTTTGCTGCTCCTAATAGACCTGCAGAGTCACCCTTCACCGCAACTAGTAAACCAGCGGATTCACCATTCGCCCCGAGTAGTAAACCTGCAGAATCACTCTTTGGCACAAGCAACAAACACGTCGATTCACCTTTCCCTACACCCAACAAGTCTATAGAATCACTATTTGGCAAACCGAACAAACCTGCCGACTCACCCTTCGGTACTATTAACAAACCCACTAATTCACCGTTCGGCAACGTCCCCGACACCAACAAGCCAAAAGACTCTGTATTTGGTGCACCCCCTGATGCGAATAAACCTCAAGGTTCCCTGTTCGGCAACGTGAACGAAGCCACGAAGCCCCCAGAACCACGATTCGGCAGCGACGCCAACAAACCTAAAGAAATCATGTTCGGGGCTAAACCTCCAGAGAATAAAAATCTATTTGCCCCTCCCACTACAACTCCCTTCTCATTCTCGACGAAACCCGTCGAAAGTACAAGTTCGGCGTTCCCCGCACCCCAGCCCGCAACAGGAGGGATATTTAAATTCGGAGCGGAAGAGGCCCAGAAACGATTGAATTCGGATTCCGCCGATACGAATGTCAATGGTTTCGGAACGGCTCCGAAAATATCCGCGTTCGGAGGCCCCCAGACCTTCGGAACGACCGAAAACAAGCCGTTCGGCTTCGGCAGTACCGATTCGACACCGAAGAGTTCCGGTTTTACGTTCGGTCAAACGGAGAAGCCGAATGCCGCAGGACCTGTTTTCAATTTTGGACCTGGTGCTCAGACTGCACCGACTGGAGGGTTCAATTTTGCTGTGACGAATACTGGGTTTAGTTTTGGTGGTGCACCGAAGGTCGAGAGTCAACCGTTCAATCCGCCTAGTACTAATATGTTTGGTCCTGCTGGAGCTGGAGCGAAGAATGGAAGTTTTAATTTTGGAACGAATGCGAATAACAACAATCAAAAGGCAGTCTTCAGTTTTGGAGCTAATCAAACCAGTCAGCCAACGCAGCCTAGTTTTCCAACGCAGAGTCAACCTGGATTTAATTTTGTACCGTCTGCTGCGGTGAGTGAAAGTAGTTGGAATTTTGTTAGTGTAGTCAGTAGTGTAAAGGGAAGTCACTTTTTCAATTATCGCTTCTTGGAAACGTAACAAATACATGCATGTGTTGAGTATTAATTAATTGTGATCTATAGTCTAGAAATTGGCATCATAATGATTTCTATAATTTCCAGGATTGACAAGATTGCTGACATTTTTATAAAAATTTGTATTAAATTTAAGCAAAACAAGTTTATCGCATGTCACGATTCAAATGTCTGTCACAGAACACAGAATTACTCGTGTTATACCAATTTTTGCTTAAAAAATACTGTCGACTGACTCAAGTCTTTTCTGATTATAATATTGGACGAACAAAGTTGTGATAAAAAAATTGAATTTCCCTGTAATAGCATTATACTAACTGATTTATTTTTTTAGCCGTTAAATATGCCAGGGAGTTCTTTCAATTTTACTGGCGCACCTCCTTCTTTCAGTTTCACAGATGGAAATACGAATCAGTAAGTATTGTTTTTGTAATTTTTACTGTCTACTAAAACTACAAAAAGAGACAACTCATCTTGGGAACCGCTGAATTACAAAAAAATTGCATGTTAGCTATAAAATAGAATGACTCCAAAATTATGGTCTCTAGAGAAAGAATATACCGGATGTCTGGAAAATGGCGGATTAACTCTTCAGTACGTTATGTACGGGGGTTTCGGGAGTCCCAAAAAATAATAAAAAATTCTTCATGATGTAGATTTCGAAAAAAAAAAAACGTAATTTTATTAATGTAAAATTGGCAACACTGCACGCACCTAATGGGTGAATACTTTCTGATTTCTTAGTAACGATGGTGACCGAGATCACCTTTTATTTTTTTAGAACAATAACCATAACAATCAGTAGTATTAATCGTTGTGCATTATTATTAATAAAACAAGCTTATTTTTCATTAATAAATAAACCAGCAAAAGAAAAATCCGTTAAAGCATAACCAACTGAACACTAGAAAATATGTTCAAAATTCCTGTCTTGTGCATATAAGTAAGCTTGTAATGTTTTCAAATTTTGATCATTAGTTATTCATCAATACTTGCTAAGATAAAACTGATTTTGGCAAAAGATATATCTTCTAAGAAAAGAGGGTGGGTGGGCGGGGCTAGTAGCTGCCAAGATAAGAATGATTTCGGCAAATGAGATACTCTCTAAAAGAAGAAAGGGTGGGTGGGTGGGGCTAGTTCCTGCCAAGATAAAACTGATTTCGGCAAGTGACATACCCTCTAAGAAAAGAGAGGGTGGGTAGGTGGGGTTAGTACCTGCTAAGATAAGAATGATTTTGGCTAATAAGATCCCTCTAAGCAAATAGAGGGCGGGTGGGCGGGGCTAGTACTTGCTAAGATAAAACTGATTTTGGCAAATGAGGTAGCTTCTAAGAAAAGAGAGAGCGGGTGGGCGGGGCTAGTGCCTGTTAAGACTGATTTTGGCAAATGACGTATCCTCTAAGAAATTTAATTAAATTATAAGAAAAGTCATTAGAGGCTCCAAAGCACTATCAAATTCTTTCCAAGCAGGAAAACCAAGAACTTCAAGATTGTTTTAAATTTTTCAAAAAAAACGGGTCCCAAAATTAACTCAAAAACGAGTCAGGTCAGAATTTTCCAAAAATAGAATACCAAAGTCCCACAAAAATTGTTTTACATAATTTGCAAAAAAAGTCTCCATGGGCTTCTAAAATAATACACCATGGGTACCCAAGAGTCTCCCGAATCTAAAAAAAAAACTGCGGCACTCGAGACTTTTTCAAATTCGTAAAAAATATAACACTAAAAGCTCAAAAGATTTTTTCAAGTTCATCCAGCAATAAAACACCAGATTCCTTTAAATTTATCCGAAAATAAAACACCAGGGGACCTAAAATCAACTGCGAACATTTTAAAAGTAGGATTTTGAAAACTGATAATTTTTAATACGTCAAACATTTTTAACTGCTTACTCGATTTTTGCTGATTTGTATAATTTAGCTTCCCAGGGAGACGAGCGAATAATTTTGTATAAGACTTAAATGCGCTCGCTGCACTCGCTTCCTGAATCTTCTTTTTTTTATTAATTTAGTGTCATAAAATTATTTACGAATGAACGGCCATCATCTCTACGTCAATTTTAACTATAATAATAATCGAGTTCTCTCTATGAAGGCAAATTATTCTAAAAAATATCAACTTCTAAAGGGCGAGCGTAGCGAGCACTTTCAATGTTTCAATTCCACTGACATTAGTGATCACAAACACAATCTATAAATTGTTCTTAATAATTTAGCTTCTAAGGGACAGCAATAAATATATTTTTAATTGCACCTGAAGATGCTCGCTGCGCTCGTATAGTTTAAGAATCTTGTTTTTTCAGCGTTATTTTAATTGAAGAGTGCAGAAAAGACTCTCAGCGAAACTGTCTAGGTTTTATCGTAATAATAAATCTCAGACTTATTACTTTTAAAAAAATGTGAGCGCAGCGAGCACGTTCAGGATGTTTCAATCCTAGAGACATCGTAGGGATCACAGACAATCTTGAAACTCACATTTTTAAAATATTCACAACAATATTGGTAAATTAGCTTCTCAGGGGCAACGATTAATATTTTTTTAAATGACACCTGAACGTGCTCGCTGCGTTCACATTTTTACCTTCTTTTCTTCAGCTGTGTTTTCATAGAATTGTGCGAGAAATGGTCTCAGTGAAGTTGTTTCTTTTCTGTTGTATGAATAAATGTATATCTATACTTTCAAAAAATAAACCGAGCGCATCGAGCACGTTCAGGTTGCTAGTCTCCCCAATTGTAGTAATTATAATTGTTTCTAAGGCTCACTTTTTTGGAGACAGTAAATAATTTTGTTGTTAATAATTTCGCTTGTCAGGGACAGCAGTGAATTACCTAGGACCTCAAGATTGTTTTAAATTTTTCAAAAATAATACAGCAAAGTCCCCCAAAATTGTTTTAAATAATTTACAAAAAAATTCCATGGGCTCCCAAAATAATACACCATGGGTACCCAAGAGTCTCACGAATTAAAAAAAAAAACACTGCGGTACTCAAGACTTGTTCAAAATCATAAAAAATAAAACACTAAAAGCTCAATTTTAAAAACATTAAAATTCCACCAAAATGTGAGAAGGAAATTTTGCTACTATTTTTCCCAGACTCACCAGAGCGGAGAGTTAATTTGCTATTTTCCAGACACCCAGTATAACGAAAACTTCGGTTAATGTAATAATACTTTCTCGTTGCAGGACTCAGCCCCCTCGCAAAATAAAGAAAGCGATCAGACGAACGACGCATCGATAGTTCGCTACAGTTTGTATATAGAGGAGTGACTGTGGAGTTAGCGAAGCAAGTGGAGTTGTGAAAGTACGTGTTAAGTTTGTTGTAAGTTATGTAAAGACTAAGTGTGGATCAATCATCTTGATATTAAAAACAGTTATATTTGTTTTCAGACCTATAAATGTTAGCTAGGCATTAATAATATTACGGGCCACCTGTGAAGATTCAAGTCCAGGCATTCATCTTTCGAACCTGTAATATAATGTTGAAATTCTTAAAAATTTATTTACCATATCTGAATGTCTGAAGGTACGAGCGATGTTCACAGATGCGTCGGTGTACAAAACTACATTGTTGTACACGGCATGTTACTCCCTACATTGTATACCATAGCGTAGGCATTTCAAAGGTCTGATCCATAGAATGTAGAATTTTCTAATGATGTTGATGAATTTCATCAATAACGTGTGATGATAAACACTTGTGAAATTTTTGAATGATTCTTATCATATAATATTTATATGACGGCCATTAAGTGGCTATTTTTCTGTGATATTCTTATGGGTCAGGCCCCATACATAACTATAAACAATATGCATATACATATTTATACTACAACACAGACAAAACGTTGTTATACTTTTATTGCAAAAGTTCAGTATCGTGGAAAACTTTTATTTTGTAAACCAATTTATTATATAAAGTAGGTACGGCAGGCGATTTATATTTATTGCTGACATGGAATAATTATTGCAATGCAATAGCATATTTTTGTTGTTAATTTGGGTTTTGTCTGTGTTATCTTATCAAAGTAGGCTCACTCCTTCGTTCCTCAATTAAGAGAAGAAAAAATAATCAGTGTAAATATTTGTTTATAGTGATTGTGATTTTTTAACAACACATATATTTTGTACATATATAGAAGGAAATTCAAACGTCTTTACAGTTGTTTATGAAATATTTGTGTTGTTTTGTAATGAGCTTCATGCTCTTTTTATCCAGAGTATTAAAAAGGAGTTAGACTGCTTCATGTAAATATTGTAACTCTACAGAAAATAAATCTTTTGCTGAAAATTTCATTTTTATTTCAACCGTTGATTCCTAATTCTTTTGAACAAAATGTTGTATTATTTTTATGAACAGATGGAATTTTCAGCATATTTGTGCCTTTATTTTTTTAATATATAATTTTATTAGTTATATCTGTCAGAAACTTGGCCTAGTTTCGTTTAAATTATTTTCCCTTGTAGCAGTCATGATGTTTTTATATCGAATGTAAGTCTTATACTCTCACTTCATAGGAATGTCTGTGTTTTCTGTTTCAGATAGTTCCTCTTCTAATATAATTTTTATTTTATTCAAATATACAATAATTTATACTTAATAAAGCCAAGTTTTGTTAACTTTGTTTTAGTTAATAAAATTTAGTTATAAAATGAAGCCTGAATTGACATTGTCCCACCATCTTTTTAGATCCTGATCTGCACCGACTCGTTTATCCGTGTTCTTAGTCTCAAAATTATTTATTGTGCAGGAGAAATATCTTAACACTACAATATAAAAACTGTTTTAGATTAAAAAGTTTTAATGTTACTTGTATGGAACATTTCAATTTTATAAGATTATATATAACAGACATACACTCAAATACATGGAGACAACTATACAAAGTATTTCCTCAGCCAAAAGAAAATGTGCTAAACGTCAGAAGAGCCTTAAATCTCGTGGAAATTAAGACTAAGATTTTGCGTCAAAAGTTGTACTTTCTTAAAAAGTTATAATTTTTTAAAATTGATAATAAAATATAAATACAAAAGAAATGTAAATAAGGTAATTGTATAAAATCACTTTTACAGTTGTCATATTCAAATATCTGGATGTACAAAATTAGTGTAATTTTATTTATATTGAATATAACAATTGTATTTTATAAATTTCTTACATTAAAGCAACATAGAACAGAAACATGAACAGTGTTTTATATCACAAGATATTTAATAGATTTTTTATTTTTTCATTTTTTTGAAAAAAATACAAACTTTAAAATATTTGTTTTGAAGGAGCAATGTGCTTTTTACTGCTTCGTGTATATTTCCATTTGATCAATTGCTGCATGTTCCACCCGTTGTCGCATATTCGTAAGATATAATTAAAGTTAACAGTTTATAATTGTAACAACTTAACTAAGTTTTAAAATTATAACAGACTTTGGAAAATAATTTTATTTTATAAAATAATATTTTTACAAGTTTAAATACATTCTACAAATACACAGAAAATAACAACAAAATCGTAACTAATTAAAACAAATTTGTACAATGTGATTATGAAGCTTTTACAAGCCATCAAATGAAAATATACACTTGTGAAAAAAACTATTTCTATATTATATTAATTTATCTAATTCTAAAACATAAAACCATTATAATACAGGTCACATATTAAAGTCTACCTAAGAGAAATAGTCTTTAGTATCTAACAAATTAAATAAAATGCGAAAATAGGCCCTACCAAGTCAACAACTTGAAGGCAAATTATGACGGAAATATAAATATACACCGGCTGAAGTTATAAATTAATTAAATTATAATGCATACTTTCCACTTAACGAAAATGTTTAGCTATTAACACTAATCTTGTGATATTTCATCCACTAAGAATCGTCAGACATGAATGAATTTTGTGATTTTAATTCTTCCAATTCTTTTATTTGTTGACGAAGAAACAATATTCTGAAACCAATTATCAAATTTATTACCAATGTGCGAACGATAATTTCACTTCTTAAGCAGTTTAATACTAATAGTAACAATAGTAACAACAATATTCTTTACTACATACCTCTGTTCTTGCAATGTGGCCTGAATTTCTGTGAGACGAACTATTGACCTAGCTGACTTGAGTTCAGCAGAAACTTTAGAACATTGTATACTACCCATAATGTGAGCCTCCTCTGCCAACTTTTGGGCCTGAAATACATAACAATAATTTGAAACTCCTATTTTAGATTTTTTTTTATAACCAAGTAACAAAAACGAAAAAATAATAAAACTTAATGTTGTAAAATATAACTACAGCATATTTTTTAATAATTCATTTCATACACTACTGGATCTTAGTAAAAATCTGATCCTGCTATAATTTGCTGTTTACAAATACTAAAATATTCATAGCAATCTTTTTTTTAACTACATTTATATTTAAAATTGAGTACAATCACCTTATTTTTGTACAATGAGAATTTATTTCTAAATAATATAAACATTTGACTTGTTTGAGCTTTTTCGAAAATTTAATTCTTACAAGTTTTTAATCCATTTGAAATGTTCTTATATTATGGATCCGCTGTATTAGCTGCCTAACAGAAAAACGTTACGAAATAAATTTTCTCTTAAGAAAATTAAATTAATAAAACATTAATTAATGATAATAAAACAAAATAATGATTTAGTTCCTTTAAGTATATTTACCAAATAGGATAAATTTTCTAAAAATTAAAGTCATCGTTAATTTAAAGGTTTGCAACTTACACTGACTTAATTATTGCAATTTTTTTTGGATTTGGCTTTTCAGTGTAAAATACAAATCAATTGTAGAGTTGGAGTACTTACTTGTTTTTCTAAAATCTCCGCTGGCCATCCCCTAACATGATTAACTAAATCATCTCTATAATGATTAGCCAATGACGGTGTTATTGAAGGACCTTGGGGTCTTAAAGCTTGTAAGGAGCTTGACATTCCCTGAAGTGTGGAGAGATTGCCCGGTGGACTACTAACAGGTACTGAGACAACTGATAACAAATAAAACACAATTACTATTATGACGACATACCAATAAACAAAAAACTACTGACGTATTATCATTATTTTTGACACTAAATTTATTTTTCCTTTTAGAGTTTTAACAGTCAGCAAAACTGATTTGGTTTGATACTATTAATAAAAACATTTTTTTCTACGGTAACTGTTTACACGTACAACAAGGTCACAATGTTGTTTTTACAAAGTAATGTAATAAGTTTTTAATTGATTTTTTTAACGAATTAAAAATAAATTTAATCCAGTGTCCTGATCGACAAAATTGTTAGTAAACCTCACTACTATTCAATTCTATTCTATTGTCGCAGGCTCCTTAGTAACAAGCTGCAACTTAGTAGCAGTATTCAGTGTCAACTCGGAACTCATTTTAATTGTTAAATCGACTACGTAAAAGTTTTTGTTTCAATTGAGACATTATTTGCTTATTGATGTAAATTTGTAAAACAATCACGCCTGGTAACTAAGAATTCGTGTACTGTTTTGCAATTCAAATTGGACCTGATGAAGGCTAAATAAATACCTAAAATTATATATAAAAAAAAAAAAAACTTCTGAATGGTCCAGGTAGATTTGGAAAACCATTGAAAAAATTTTGTGTCCTTTTAGCTACTTCCACACTGCCTACTACGTACACTATATTTTTTTGAAATTCTGTAGTTAAAATATTTTTTTATACAATCATTAAAACGTGAAAAAGACTTTGATAATACATAATAAATTTGTATACTGATTTCCTAGAAAGTTAGTGGTAGCAAGATATAAAAACTGCACTATAGCCAATATATTTTAACGAAGCTGTGATAGGCTAAAATTATAACATACTGCCTAGCAAGTTCAGTTAAGCTGAGTTGAAGTTCATGTTTTACTTTGAACAAACTGCAATACAATTGGAGTAAGCACACAGGAAGTATTTTTTTTTTAATTTAGAAAGATTTATTTACAGAAAACTTGATCTTTTGTTTAAATATTACAAAAAATGTTTTAAGGCACTGCTTAATGTTGCAGTGTGAAACGAACTTTGCTATTTAGTGGTGTAAACCAAACTTTTAATTCATCGAAGTATTCTACTTTAAAGAATCTACGAATTTATGAACATAGTTTTATACAGATAGTTCAATACGACCTGGCAGTGATTAAATAACTAAAATTATGGTCAGAATTTCATATTAACACTTCATTTTTTTATTGGTTCATGTTTTATGGTCTCTTGTGCTGTCTCTTAACAGAATTCGTCTAAATTTGTCAATAATTTTTTATTATTGTCTTTTATCAAAATTTTGGTCATCTAAAAATGTACGAAACTTATTATCGATCACAATCTAGACATTCCTCCAATTACCACATTTCCCTTCGTTTCCGTTCAAGATGTAAATTTAGTGATAGAAATGTACAAAAGTGACAATAAAGTTACATTTGTATTCGTTTATCGAACATATGGAGTTGTAAAAGTGCGTGATCTTTTAAAACCCTAAACTTGTGATTTTTACTGCCAATTTCTGGCTTTGTTTAAACTAGGAATCCGATGGAAAGAAGTAAGAATGACACATGAATGAGAATATTTTCAAACATTCCGTCGAAATTTCTTCATATATTCAATTTTAATGTTATGGGGTAAGCTTCGACGCTCACTTTGAAGGCACGTGGTCACTCCATCTGTTCAGTAAACGAACTTTAGTAGAATTTCTTGTAGCATAACTCTCAATGAGGCACGTTACAAATTTGATTTTTATTTTTCTTACGTCTTCAATCTATAACGTAATTTAGATTTTAAGAATACGCAAAACTGGTGAACTCAAGTGTATATAGTACAGTTCATATTAGTATGGTAAAACTGATTCAGAGAATTAGTATTGTAATATTCTCTAACAGAAAACAATAATAGGATAAATTAAATCTCTTTTTCATAACAATGCTCTTATTATAAACAACTCTAATTTATAATTTACATTTATCTAAAAAAAAATAATTGAAACTCAAGTATGTACTTAAAAAAAAAAAAAAAACAATAATCATGACGAAGTCCAAAATACATACTCATTAAATAAATACTCTGTATTGTAAAAAACAATTTATTTTAAATGGAAAAAATGTTTAAAACTGTGAAATCTACAAAGAACTTAGAGGTCAAAGTCTTTTAAAGCATTAATCAAATTATTTAAAAAGTATGTTTCAGTATTAACTAAAAATTTTCAAACGCTTCTTAAGGGCGATATTCACTGAAATTTTGAGTACGTCAATTAAAAAAATCTGCATTTCCAACTAAAAGTCCAAGCAGTGAAAATGCAACACATTCCAACAATAAAATGTTTAAATTTTCCACTGACGTTATCGTATCAAGTTTACAGCCACGAGTGAGTGATAATTACCATAATGCAAGTACATTTTTAGAACGCCAAGTGCGGCTGTGTGGTTTGTCATTTTCGAAGAAACTTTTTCATGAATATTTTTCAATACAAATAAACCCACCCTTGATGTGTTCAGGTAACTTTTGCGTTACTATGCATCAAAACCCACCACATTTTGGTGAACATGCTGTTAATTCATTAGCATATTTTTTTGTCTGTCACTGACCCCAACAAATTCTTTTATCAAATTAAAAGTCAAACAACGTAATATTAATAACAAACAGGTGGAAAATCAATTTTTCCCAAATTGTTTTAAAATTAATTTAATGTGATACTAAGAGCAAATTAAATAAAAATTATTTATTAAATATCAATATTAAATTAAAGCAGTTATGTTTTTCACCTTAGGGTAGACTTTTACTACATTTGAACGCTTTTTGAAGAAATATCTTGAACTGTTGAATGGTATTTTAGCAGTTACGATTAGCACAACTTTACCTTAAGACCATGAATTTAGTGCAAATTCACTAGAATACTAAAATAATTCATCAATCCACAGGATTTCGCGAGTTTTATATAGTTCATGTTCAAGTTCAAAGCGTACACCAACATTCATATGTGAATAACTAACTCTTAGAATAACTTTACTATTTCAAGGCCAAATTTTTTTTGGTTCAAAAATTTGTAATACTTATTACAGACTTTTTAATGATATTTTTTTTAGGTTATATTTCAAATAAGGTACATTATTGTAAAAGAATGTATACACATAAGAAAACCTAAATACATATATGTGTTTCAATTATTTTAAATAAAAAATTTTTATTAAAGAAAACACTCAGATGGGTTAAATGATTTAAAAAATGTTCGCTGTACTCATCTGCTCAGCAACCTTATTTGTCACACCTCTTTTATTATACTTGCCATTTAAACCACTGTTGATAAAAATAACTTTGAAAACAATACACCACAAATTTTCACCTGCGGTTTAAAGGGTTTTTGTCCTTCGATGTGTTGGAGTATTTTTGTCCATTTTCAACTTCAATCAGGCTTCTTATACAAAGAAATACGAGTATGACTTACGCAATTTTGACGTCAACTAAAAATCTTAGGGGTAGTTTTTAAAATGTAGATTGTTAAAACACTAAATTTCGTTTTATTAAAGTATTAATAATAATTTCTTTTGTTACGTTACAGATAGAAAGCAAACACTGAATTTTTATGTAGGGTATGCCCCTATTTATGAAGGATAAATTGCTGAAATTAGAAACACTTACATATTATTGAACGAGAATATTATAGTACATACTATTAAACAAAATGCCAATCAAATTATTTCTACGACGCTCTTGCATTATTTAGTTATAGTAGTTAAGAATGTGTTACCCAAAAAACCGCAGGCATAACCCTTTGTATTTAAAAAAAAATCACAATATTTTATTTATTAATAAATTAACTTAAAACAGACATTGAAAGAGCCAGCGGCAAATTAAAATAAAATTATTCTAAAGAGTGTTATGTATATTGCTCGATGTGCAAAAGCGTATCAAAACTACAAAAAATTGCTGATTCTTGTGTACATAATAAACTGTGTCGAATTTCTAAAGCATTTTTGGATGTTTTTATCTTGAAATTCAATTTATTAAACCACATTGTCCAAACTACAATAATGAATGTCAACAAAAATTAATTGTTTAATAACAATAAATTATAAAATCCGTATCTGAACTGCAATTTGACAAGATGTTTAGAAAAACTTTTCACGTACGTTGTATTTGATAAGACTATAAATATTAGAAATGAGACAAGAAGCTTCAGATAAAATACTATGTATAACTTTACTGTGCTGTGCTTTGTGATAATGATAACATTGTAGCATAAAAAATTGTGCACGTGTTGATATACACAAAATAATATTCTAATTGTAATTAATGTTTGATAAACAATTACTGTAATGCTCCGTGATCAAAAATGACTTGAGTCTGTTGGTAGTACTTTTTAAACAAAAATGTGAACTTTTTTTGCGTTTATGTTGGTATAACGGAAGTGATTGTGTGATCGAGACGTCAGTCGTGACATGCAATAAATTTAAGTCATGTTTTGGATACATTTTGCAAATTAAAAATGTATTTCACTTTAGTACATAAAATAACAGTTACCACACATAGAAAGAAAATGAAATGAGAGCATAAATTCTCTTTACGCTCTAATGTTACGAGATACACTTAAGGAATTCTATTACTTTTCAAAGTATCGCAAATTCTGCATACGCCCCAGTAATTATGTAACATACCAAAGCAAAAATGACAGCAATAATTTGTACATTTGCAGCATTTATAGTACATAACAACATAGATCGAAAGTACCTTCACAAAGACACAAAATAGACTTCCCGTACAAAAAATTGCAAGAATTTTGCACGAGAATAAAAGACAAAGGTAAGGATGTATCTACTTCCTTTACCAATTACTCCCATCATTGTAACAGTTGGCAGTAATTAGTGTCGCACAGTGGATTTGCCCTCCAAAAGAACCGTTAGCTGATGCTACGGATGTTCAATCACCCCTGTTCGATTTTTCCACTCGCTAAGTCGACTTAGCCATCCCAAGCATTTCGCTATTGTTTTG